ATCGTCTTTTAACAGGTGACGACTGATCGCTGTGCTAATCTCTAGGACTGGATCCAGGAAGGTGCAGGATGGCCCAACAGACACTGTGCCACCAGCCATGGTTCTTTTTTATCTATCAGCATAAACACACATAATATAAAGAAAACAACAACTGTTCTCTCTGTGAAAATTAGATCTACTGGGGTGTGCAAAGACAACAAAGTGGCATTCAGCACACTCTTGCATGAGGCTTTTCCTTAAGCGTGCATTTGTCTAAAGAAATGAGGTTGCGGTCAGCTTTGTGTGTCCAGCGCAGTGATCTAATGTGACGTACAGTAAGTCTGTGCATATTCTTTTCGACTGCCTTCGTTACTATAATCAGGAAGAGTCAAATCGGTTTTGTTGGTGACGAAGCTAGGGAAAAAAAAAAATGAACCTTTTGCAGAACGCGGCCCGGCGCGCATGGCGCGGCGCATAGCCACGAGGCACCTGACACGATAAATTTCAATTGGCAGAAACTTTGCTGCGTGCTGGAAAAACAAACGGACGAAAACAGGACCAAACCCCATCCATGCGCCAGCCACAGAAACACGCACGGCTACAAGGAGAAAAAAAAAAACTGAGGACCCTGCCATGTGAAATAAATATGGTAGGTGACACGTTAAACTTTGCTTCATTCCAAGCAAATCAATTGCACAAATAAAAAGAAAATCCCCAAAGTGCAATTATGAGCAGGGTTTCCTCCAGCAGCACAATAAACACGGCTGCATCCTATTGGTTGACATCCTTTCTTGCTGCATGGCAGAGTCTGATGCAGTATCACAGATGACAATTGGGCAAGCATCTCTTATGCAGAAGTTAATCACAATAATAGAGCACAAAGTGTAGCTTCACGGTCGGACCATAAATGACAAATCTGTTTTACCATCCAGTACCAGCTACATGTGGGAGGTGAAGTTAACACAGGCTTTGAGCATTCCTGATGATAATTATTCAACGACAGAAGTCACATTATGTTCATCTGCACTGGGAAAATACAGTGTGGTAGAATAGTTTTTCTTCCTTAAATGAAGATTTTTTTTAACAGAATGAATGCGTGGCTTCCATGCACAAGCACGCAGATTCACATGTTATGAAATTGCCTGTTTTTTCTTTCGAGTATCTCATGTTGGAGGAGCTGTTCCGTGTATCTGGCAGGATAGCTTGCTAACATGGGAGGTCTTCCATTATGTACCAAGAGGTACAGTAAATTATCCAGTGCAGTAAAGCAACATCTGTTTCCATGCAAGTGCCGAGCAAACAAGGCATTTTAAGGAATACCAAGGGATAAGCAAATAAACAGCCCTGATTCATCTCCCTCTTCCACGTAAGAATCAGATGCTCAGCTGCAATTTCCATGCATTAATAGCACAACCTTTTGATACTGCTTAGCCAGGGAGGTTCAATGCAACACTCAGTACCCATCTGTCTGAAATCTGTAATAATTTATTTTTCATTGACCTCCCAATAATACAAATTAATGTGGGTCAAACATCCCGTGAAATAAAAAAGATATTACTACAGTATAACGAAAAATGGACACAACGATGGCTCGATGGTTAGTCAAAATGTTGAAACATTTTTAACATGAACGGAAAATGTACAACAATTACTAGACGTTCTTGTAGATTTTCAAACACAAAGAAGGAATAATTTACAATTATATAACGACAACAACAACAGCCATATGGGCACTGTTGTTATATTATTTTCATTTTCAGCATGATTCCAAGTAACGATTCTGAAAAAATAGCTGTGTTGCTTATAATATTTTCTATGGGTATTACAACTTTTTGATGGAGCTAAGCTAGGATTTCGAGAAAATTCGTTTAATTCTCCTTTTAAAATATTAAGTCTAAACATTAAAAGTTGGTGACACTACGACATGATTAGGGAACGCACTGGCCCACTGGGTCACACTGTTCTGATAAAATGCACATCTTAAACAAAACAGTGAGAGCCAGAGGGTGGGGTGGTGGCACTGATTCATCATGATACACACAGGAGGCTGCCAGAGTTCCTGGGGTAAAGCAAGTCTGCACTCAAAGTCAGTCCTGGTGCCTTTGTCTGCAGTAATACAGCAGCACCACAACCGTCTGCTAGGCCTTTACTTTTTGCAGAGTTTTGGAGCATATTTACTACATACAGTATGCACATCTGTATACAGCATTTTGGAGATTATGTGTTGATTGGAACTAATATTAGATGATAAAATAAGATGAAAACAAATGATTTGAAAGTAGCCAAGTCTCGGTAGGGTGGAAAGAAAAAGAAAGTGAGGGAAACACAACAGACAGGCCAATATCAGCGGAGCCAAAGAGCAAATCGAAGCAAACTTGCAAGGTCTATCCGAGTCAAAGCTGAAGTCATGTCGATCCACTTTAGTGTTTCTCGAATGTTCTCAATACACTAATAAATATTTCATCTTTAATTCCAGTTTGCTCCCCTCTGCACTCGTGCCTCCAAGCAGTTGTCTTCAGATTTCAACTGAGTAAATGTGCTCTAATGAGAAGAGGAGCTGCCCAGGCAAAGCGGAGCGACTCGAGCAGGGCCCGCCACCATCTCGGTGATAGGCAGGCAAATTGACTTAAAATGAAAAGTCTTGTCAGATGAAGCACAACATGGTAGCCCAATGTCCAGCTGTCAATCACCACCCACAACAGGGAACTCTGAGAAATGAAAAGGTCACTATAATCATTTAGAAATATTAATGTAAAAAATTGACTCTTATTTTTCAACAGAAATTAAAGAGAGATGGTTTTTATAACAAAGAATCACATACGTTAAGCTACTAAGGCACCGTTTTATATGTTAATATATGAGTATAGAATCCTCATATATTGTCTGGGTACATTTTAAAATCTGGTGCACTTCATATGAAGATCTTTTCTATCATCCAATCAAATTCTGTAATTCGTGTTGCACCTTCATGACAAATGAAGTACACATCCCAAAAAAATTGTTTACAATTAAAACCGACCCACTCTCCAGAACTGTACTATTTTATACATATTTAACTGCACCCTAAACTGGATTACTTTATTTCTGCTTAAAAAAAAACATTTTGACTTTTGACTTCAAACATTTTTTTTTTGTCCTTCTAAAACAAATTGAGGTCGATTAACACATTCTCTCCCGGACTGGCTGGACTCGGTGGTCATCTGCTTCCCATTTTCATCTCCCACACACACAAGGGATCAAGCAACTCAAATAACACAAACGGGCAGTTTTCTAACTTGCGGAGAACTAGCGAGTCTGCGAGGCGCACAAGCACCCGCGCTGAATAAAATGCAGAATTCCTCCAGTGCTTAGTTCTCACACCCAAAAATGCACTCAGGCAGGACTGAAAGATTCAGCTCTATCCATCAGGAGGAAATGAAGAGATAAATAAATTACCTAAATAGAGCAGGCTGTCTAATTGTTCTCTGGTGAGGATAATGTCCTGACCACGGCCTGATTCTTCACCTGTCAGCTGGAGAGCACAGAGGATCTCGTCACGCACTGCTGCAAGGGCTTGTGGGTGCCTCACTAGGTAGTACATGGCCCAGAAGGTGGCCGGAATGGTATTTCCAACGGAGGCCCACAAAATGGAAAAATGATGTGCTGGGAGAAATAAGTGAAAAGGAAGATTAATAGCATTTATTACACTGATTAGATTTGCAGTGTGCTAATTAAAAGATGTTAGGACACAGACCCAGCCAAGGATCAGTGAATGCTAATGAGGACCAATAGGCTTCTGAAGTCTAATTTTCTGCTTAATGAGGATGGTTTAAATGTAATGTTTTGTGGGAGGAAAGTGGGGGAGGGGGAGAGAGGGTGAACACAGCTCTATTGCGATCTTTCTCATTATCACCATTAAGCACCGTGTTTTACAACCTCAGCAAAAAAAAAAGAAAAAAATCAATTATCTTAAGGGGTTGTTACAAGTTAAAAAACATTTTATCATTAGTCAATTAATAGGTATGTTAAAAGTCTCAAGGTCACACTCTCTCGCCTTACAACATGATAACCGAGCAGCAGAAAAGCAGAGAGATGTTCTTGAACGGAAAAGTACATTACCTGCTTTGTCAACACTGCCAAGTAGTTCGTACTGCTCAAAAAGCTCAGCTCTGACCTTAACGAATTCTGATGATTCTTTCCAGTGTGCCATTCTTTCTGGCAAAAAGATGTTGATCAGGTCTTCCCTGATTTTTTTGGTGGCTCCCAGGAATTTAATCGGGATTCCAGCAATCAGCAGCGGGAACATGGCGTCAAACTTGTCAAATTTTTCTCTGAAGGAAGCCATATCTGCATGCCTACTGGTGTGGCCGGACTTCCCAAACACAGTCATGAACGTGGCCTCGAACATGATCTTGCTGCAGAAGGAATACATCTTCTCCGTCCTCCACTGGGGTTCCTTACTCAGGTAGTCTTGCCGAAAGAGAAACAGCAGGTTTTTCATCATGTTCTCAGTAAGGGGGCTCAGATTGTCGCCCTGGAGTAGCTGGTATCCCCTGTGTATGTGCTCGTCTATTCCAGGGAATTTCGGGTTCCTGATGGGAGGATAGCCAAATGTCACGGGCGCAACCTGGTCAGAAAAGTCACGGAAATCCAATTGTTTTCTGTGCTTAATGACACTTGGATAAAGGGTAGGGTCCATAATAAAAGTTATGTATTTACCTGAAGAAACAAAGAAAACAAAATTACTGTGTGGGGAATAAACAAGACATGTAAGTAAGCAAACAAAAAATAGTGGAACCATTAAGAATTAATTGAGTGATATACTGTAGCAACAAATTGTTCTTACTGATGGGTCATTAAGCATCTATACTGTATATCTGCAGATGAGATGCTTATCATTTTCACTCACACTAATTAATTATATACTGAACTGATCTGACAATAAAGCCATTTTAGACACAGGAAAAATACAATCTTGGAAAACTGACTCATTACACTTCTTGGTAGAGCACAGGTAAAAATGTCTGACAACTGGAAATGATTTTAATATTTCATTTACTGATTACTGTTTTAAGCCTCTTTTTGATTAAAAAAAAAACACTGTGGTAATGCTGTAGAGGACGATGCTAAAGAAAATAAATTTGAAAAAAATCACTCGATAAGAGGAATCCAAGGCAATACTAAAAATATTGAACATAAAGTTGCATATTTATATATACCTTTTTCAAGTGTGGAAAGATTTAAATAAAGTTGCACACACAAGGTACTCAGGTGGAATTTACATACAATAATGCAAAGCAGCATATTATGGGAGAGTATTATCATCAAATAAAGCATGTGTGGTTTATTGCAACTGACTTGTATAAACCAGCATTTTATGCCAAAAGTGCATATAAACTATTTAAGCAAACTGGGTTTTCATACCAAGTTTAAGGAAAATGTGTTTTTGAAAGAGGCGAAATAAAAAACTCTTATACACAAGAAGCTGAGTGTAGATTCCTGGTGGGAGTAATTCACTGTGTATAAAATGTCAGTGGTAAGGTCTCAAAACATGCTTGAATTTTTAGAATATGTTCAATACATTAAGTAATAAACACGTGAAAATTCAGCTTCAATGGGTAGCACTTCACTAAAAATTGCTTTAGACCAGAAGAATATTTATTAAGATGCTTGTGCTTTCAAAGGATTTTCATTGAAACATTCTGGTTTATACACAATAGAAGAAAGCAGCAAAATGTAGACAATCACTTTTGACACTAATCCCCTGTAATTTTTTGTCTGTGTATGTGATTGACAGTTTATAATCCTTTCCAAAGCTCTTGGTTGCAGAATAATAGAAGTATAACAATCATGGATTACATGACAATACAATAATTTATTGTTCTGCAGTGTAACAAGTCTCTTCATTTACCAACACAACCGACACAGTTCATGTCAATTTAATTTAAACCACTATGAACTGTAATCTAATAGCAATGGCCAGGGACAGTCCAACACCAATTCAAATAATTTCTGCCAGGGTACTTTAAAAATCTAACACTAATATGTATAACTGTAGAAAATGTGGTAGGAATGCCCACTTTATTTATGACAATGTCCGTGACAAAGGATCCCCTTAGTATAGCTGTGAAAGATGAAGCAGCTACAAAAGAAATCACTTACTGTATGCTGATGGTTAGCAATTTTCATTTGCCTTTTCTTGTGCCATTTTTGGAGATGACTGAACAGCGTACAAATTTGAGAAACTCTAGTGTTTACCTCATAAGAATTAGTTGATATTCTAGAAAATCTCCCAGTGTTGTAACAGGGGTTTATTCCTTAGCATCCCTTAACAGTAATGAACCTGCAAGACTGTACCGAATTATGCATGTCTAAATCTTGTATTAGAAAACACATATTAATATTGATATTTACCAAATCATCTGTATAATTCTCATTTCAAGAAATTAAAAAAATGATAGCTTTTCTTTTAGTTTATTTTCACTTTTCATTCACTATATTTTTGGAGGCATTAAGAATTTGTTTAATAGTAATTAAAGGATGTTCTTTTTCAAATCCTGCCAGGACATGCATTATGTTTCCAGGTCCTGTACCTCTTTGAAGAATTTTGGCATGCAAGCATTTTGCAGCATTTATTTTAATATCAATTTTAGAAAGAAATGCAATGCATGCTTCTTAAAACTGACTCCTTAGCGATGCTGATAACTGGACCTCTACCACCTAATGTTGGTGTAAAGTTTTGGGAGCTCTGAATGTACTCCTTGAGGTGGAATGTGTCATTGTATGTTCTTGAATTCCTTCTTTCACATACATGTTTTCTTACTTTTAGGTGCAAGTTCTGAATTGAAATTCACGTTCAGCATGTTTCTTTCTCAGTCCCTTCAAATGGAGTCAAAATTTCTACTTGGGCTCTGTCGCATACAGAGCCAGGCTTTCTGTATCTGATGGAACTGAGACTTGGCATCTTAGCATGGTTAATATACCACACACTATAACACAGAAACCTTTTATTCCCAGTCAGTAAATGCTTACACAATTAAGATGAGAAGGCTCCTCACATTAAAACAGCACATTAACAGTAAAATGTGATGCTGATTAAATGCCAGTGACAATATCACTGTCCTTTAAACCCTTCATAAGCTTACAGCAGGGCCTTTTAGAGCCCATTAATCCAACCAATCATTTTCATGGATATGTATTTAATAAAGAGCGATGCTCCTGAAGAGTAACTTTTTCCCATTTTGATTAAGAAATGAATACATATATATAAAAAACAGAATAAATTATAATAAGAACTACTCATTTAGCAATAAAAATGACAAGTGTTTTAACAAAGTAACACTTAAAAAGTGTACTTCATTTTGAGCAGCTGAGCACAATTCTTAATAATTCATGAAACCTTAAGTGCTAAAAACTGGATTTTACACAGAAACCTCTCATTATAATGTGAATTGGAAGTAACAACTGATTTAATCTATATCTAAATCAAAGTTATACTGTACATATGAAACACGATATGCATTGGATTTGAAATTTCCTACATTTTATTCCAAAAAGACATATATAGTACTGTACATTTACCTTCACCCTCAGATAGAAAAATTGTCCATGATAATATACAGTAGCGCATGAAACCTGCAGATTCCTAAAGAATGAATTTCTTCATTACATTTCTGTGGTCTAGTCTGGTGGGGTTTTTTTTGCTGGCAGTGTTAGTTTTGCAAGGCGAAACTGTTTGGAACATCTGAGCCTAGTTCTCACCTCCGCTTCATCAAAATTAGAAATGTAATATTAGTCTCCTTCAAAGTTTCTCTTTTCAACCTGGCAGACAAATTTTGTTTAAAAAAAGCAAGCGAGTGCCCAGAAGAGGTCTGTCGGTGGATGAGCATTAAACTGTTTTTTTTTTTTTTTTTTAGATGAACACGTTTATGTAATCTTTATCCTATTAGGAAGATTCATCTGAACTGCTGACAATGATGTACAGTGGTGCTTCACAGAAATGACGTCTGAGGAAAATGATTCTGCTGCACCACCACACAAAACCAATTAGAGAACTATTTTCTGCGACAGGTCAGGAATTTACATTGTTTCTCGTGGAAAGATGTGCCTTTTAATTTCTTTATTAAAATGACATCCATGTCCCTACGACTTTTCAGCATGGCAATCATTGACTTGTCACGCTGGAAATGGCCATCAGTGAAATCGCAGTACGGGTACAAGTTCATGCCCAAAACTATAAGCATCGTTTTGCATTTTCCAAATGAACTGCTTCAAAAACTAATAATTGCAGTCGACCTAAATGATAGGACTCTTGTCATACACTGACAGAACAGTTGGGATGTCCAAAACCAGAAAGCAGTACAGTACAAAACTCTTGAAAAAACCTAGGTAACTTTGGCTTTTAATGGTTTACTGAGGACTGATGTTTTTGTTATCTTATTGTTTATTTATTTCTTATGGTAAAAGTAAATCTTTGTTGGGTGGTACAGTGGAATCTACTGTATATAATAGTCTTAAAAATGAAATTAACTTGATGTTTGTCCACCTCTACACCCCTTACAGTCTGTGGAGTTATATGTATGCGGTATATCTTTTATTCTTTCAGTCAAAAGTTAAAAAATAAATGACAAATAATGGAAAGAAGAAATTAAATACCTACCAGCAACATATACAGTAAAGATGTCCCCATACTTTTCCTTTTGAGCATTGAGAAATTTATAGGGATTTTTACAAAACTCCAGAGTCTTCCCAACATATGGAATCCATCCTGTAATTAACGGTGGCTCCCCATTTTGCCTATAAAAAAAAGTATATCACATAAATATTTTAACGTCAAGGGAAAATGGTCCTGCTTGCTCATTTTTGAATGAAACTTCTTGAGTTCAGGGTTATGCTACTGCTTTTCCAAAGATATACATATTCACCAAATATGAAACAAGGAAAAGAAAGTACATTAATTATTATTTTTATTATTAATACTGTGTTAGTAGTATTTCTAAATAGAGTGGTACTTATGGTTCGAGATTTGAATTAGATTATATTACAACAAAACACCTACAAAACTTATAGGAAAGGTTTCCACTCTTAGTCTAGCAAATAGCTACTACTTTACTGTGTAAAACTGCAGTATTTGCATCTGATTTAAGCTCGCTAAGATGGAATAAGTCTGCTGCAGATGAGAATGAGGCAAATCTCTTCAAATAACACAGACACTACATCCCATCTGTGAAGGTGACTTATAGTACATGCAGAACAACCCATTTTGATTAATCACAAGATATTTACTGGCTCAGATCTAATCAAAGATCAAGGGATCACAAGCTTTAACATCATACAAGGCATGAGAATTTATGCAGTGGGATTCACCTGTCATGTTCTGTAGTTGTGTTTCTAAGTGTCTGTTTTAGGGAAACATAATATTCAAATTACTTCAAAAATTGAAATTTAAAATTAAAATTGTGCATTTATCATAATGTAGTGTTTGAAATGTCTCACATGTAGAATGAGTATCACGATGCATTAAAATAAGAATGAAATTAATGCTATGCATTATCAGGTTTGCCACAAAAGCTGCTTTGTTTTTTCGGCTTCCGACAAATTTACAAGGAATCACCTCTGTGTGTTTTCTGTGCTCCTGAACCTGTTATCTGTCATTCGCCTTGAAACGGAGCACAAACGTTTTCACTTTAGTGCACCCCTAGCATCTTAATTTTCAGGCCACGAGCAAAATAAGACAAAGACTAATCCAAGATTATAGAGTATATGATCAAATCTTGACCTCTGACAGTTTTCAGCATAACCTTAATTATCCTCTCTAAGCTTGTGAAGATTTCCCATTTGCAAAAAAACCTACAAAATAAAATCAAGACAAGATAACCAGTGCACTGTATGTGGTTCCACTGCTCACTTCAAGGAGGGTGTGTGTGTATGGGGGGGGGGGCGTCCCACATACTGTACAGTAGGTAGCATTGTGACAAATTTAGATAGTCTTTTTGTCATATTCTAATTTAATGCATCTAATTTCACTCTCCATGCTCTGTCATTTGGTCAAAAGATGTATTCTTCACAACCTTTCCGCGGGGTAAAAAGCAAGCATCTCACAAATCCAGGGGAAAATTAACTTAATGCTCCTGGTCTGTGGGCTCACATCAGGAGATATTTTACTATCACCCAGATGTAAGGTTCATCACTCACTACAGTCATGTGAAGCTTAGGAAGCAATAAGCAGACCCCTGCTAAACACCAGGTCAAGACCTTGTCTACTTAGGGAAGCCAAAATAACCCAAATTCAATTGAAGACTTACTGTGCATGCTTTGAACACAATCTACCTTACCTGAACTCCTTCTGTTTTAGAAAGAGAGATCTGCAATAAAAGTCAATTCACGCTCTCCAGCTACAATAGAACCAAAAATAATACACATTTTCTGGGTAAACAACAATACCTTTACACTGTATAGTGTATGTACCGCACATACATTATGTTTTAATTGAATCTAAGGAAAACGAATAGTCATCCTATTTTTTGGTGATGTCATTTCTGCCCAGTGTAAATTCCAGTTGGTTTTAGTAGTGAATAGTATTTAGTATTTATTTTGTTTTACTTTTCAAATTGGTATTTGTCGGTATGAACTCTTGTAAAATGCTCTCCTGTTAAATTCTATTTTAAAATGCAAAAATGCTCTTCAAAAGTGAAAATGTAATAAAGGAATCACTACCAGGTTTCAAAACATTGGTTCAACAGTATATGCAGTATATGTGAAGTGTTAAGCAGGGGTAAATGGTTAAAAGAAATATAGCTACTGTATGTAACATACTGTATCACGAATTCTGATGGTGAGGTGGCAAAACTACCTGTATCTGAAGAGACATCTAATACCATTGATTATAAAGTCAAAGTTAACAGTCTCTTCAGATGGATTCATCAGCAAGGAGATACAAGCAGTTTGGCTTTTCTATGGGTTCCCTTATTCTTCCAGTGTTTTGTACTATTTCTTTTTATGTTAAAACTTATTTGCATAGTCATTGAAATAATACACTTAACAGGCACACTAACAGGTTTTACACTTCTATTACCAAATCAATTAAAAATAAATGCTGACATTTTGAAGATTAACCTTCAGCTTACTATTGTCATCCCTTCATTTGGACAGCTTTATCATTAATTTCTATCCTACTTATAAAATATAATCTATGTCTACCAAAATTATACAGCATATTGCCTTGAGTAATCTTTGGTCTGATCTCTACATAATTTATATGCAGCAGCTATGTAATCTTTAAACGCAAAAACAAAGACGAAAGAAAATCATTATTTTGTCGACAAGCTGGTAAACATACTGGGTTAACCAAGAACATTATTATTCCCTAGATATCCATGGAAATGTCACTCCCCAGGATTCTGTAGTGATTCAGCTGTGTTTCGTTTATTTTTACACAGCTAAAATGGATTCTTAAGACCCCCAAGAGGGGTTTGTTATTTCACTGAGTATCAGTGTCTTGAGTGTTTTAAAATCCAATTGTTCCTGAATTTATGGGAAGTTTAGAAATATTATAACAACGATTTATAAATGTTTGTGTTTTAAGGAGACTTCTCAGATGAATTACTTATGCATTTTCCTGCCACCAAATATTGTGGAATAAATCAGACGTTTTACATCTGCTACTTAAACATTGTCAGTACCAGTTGCTGTATTCCTAGCTTTTTCCATCCGTTTGAATCTAACAGTAATGGGGAAACTTATATTGAGGAATAATATTGTATTTAAACACCATAAAAGACCAACAAATACCTGCACTTTGCATGAAAGTACAAGAGAAATAAATAAATGACTTTTTTTAATTAATAACTGTTGTGTGGTGCTCAATTATCCAAAGTTTGATAAGCATATCATTTTTATTATGAAACAAGTTAGTGACGGACAGTTATTATAACATCCAGTCATTTTCTAACTGCTTTGTCCAGGACAGGATCACAGGGAGCCAGAGCCTTTCCTAGCAAGCAATGGGCGCAGGGTGGGATATACTGTACCGCGGACGGGATACCAGTTCACCGCAGGACACACATAGACACAGACACAGACATGCACACACCCATTGCAGGGCCAGTTTTCCCTGAAGCCAATTAACAAACCAGTATGTCTTGGGATTGTGGGAACATATCGCAGCACCCAGCGGAAACCATTGCGAACATGAATAGAACATACAAACTCCACGCAGAGGGGTCCGGGATTGAGCCCAGGGCTCCAGTGCAGGGAGGCTGCAATGCTAACCACTGTGCCACCCATGACGTTTATTCTTCCGATGAAAGAAATGATAGGGAAATAAAGCCAGCTCCCACGTGATGGAATCTTTCTTTTAATTCTGTCCCAATTATGACAAATTATCATTTTTAACTGTTTTGATAAACATTCAGGTCCATTCAGGTCCTTCAAGTACGTTTTCACTAAAATGACTTTGGAATTAGAGAAACATGGATGTTTCTCCATGTTGTCTGGTGCCTGTATCTCTGTGAAACGTGAGCCTTTCCGTCGTCTTCTGGAGGAGATGTTTTGCCACTCTGGCCAGTCAAATCAAGAGCAAAGGGCTCTAATTCTGATGGCGTAGCTATCGTCTGCCCTATCACTCAGCCGCTTGCCGAGAGTTCGGTGTTCTCGCTGAAATGTAACAACGTTAATTACATTTGCCTTTTTAATGGCAGTCCCCAAGCTCTTGCCAAGGATTCACAAAATCCGTGCCACTTCACAAATTTCACTCTCAAAAAAAATAAGGGCAGAATTCAAAGGGTATGTCAATATGTGCTCGCATCATTGTGCAGCTGCCTCATGTGTATAAAGGCAGGCACCAGAAGGGTCTGGGCACAGGTCCCTCTGCTGTAAAGACTCCAGCTCCATACAGTCGAGCACACGCTACACAATTTCAGAGGATCTGTTTCCTCCAACATGGTCGTGGAAAACGAAAAACACAGAAATAAATGCAACTAAATACAAAGGGGTGATATGCCTAGTCAAAACAAGAGAATAAATGACATGTGAGAACGTAAAAAAGGTTAAAAACAAGAGGAAGCTGTTGAGCACCTCTATCCTCATTAGAAGTCATTATTGTTATAATAATATTTATTATTAACTAAACAGCTTTAATACATTTAACAATAAAAAGGTGTTTTTTCTCTTAGAATCTCTTCTTATCTTTAGACCTTTAGTTTTGATTTCAATCTAAATTCAAACCTTAATAACTGTGAACCCAGTCTTATTATAGCCATATGTTTTAATTCATCTGTTTTTTATTATTTTTGTGTTAATTATTATCCTCATGCACTGGAGGATTCTGGGAAATACAGTTATCTTCTCAGGTTCATCCGAACCTCATTTGTTGCTTATGTAATTTTTTTATCCTACACAAAAATAGATTTAATTTTTTTTTTTATCTAAGACCATGATACTGTACATTCCCGCTAGAATTTGTCCAATATTTTATTCCACTTTGTTTTCCACCTGAAATATTATATATTCAGCTATGATGGTATAACTATTTGGGGATTCTAAATCTGGTATGACAGTGACAGCAGATACTGCTAATTGGCAATCTAACTAACTAGTCATTCCTTCTAGAAGGTCATTTTATAGCTGATCTGTAGGACATGAATCTACTATATACTTAAAGATCTTCAGTATTTTCCACTTAAATTACTTATGAAGCTATTTTCAACTACATTCAAAATTTTTCAAACTTGATTCCCCAGAGTATATAACAGGGTAGTTTTGCCTGCAGTGTATTATGTTTATCAAGAATACATAAA